CCTGTGCCCCAGACGAGTATAGGTTTCGGCTCACATTTGTGGTGGATCTCCAATCGTCGATAGCCACAAAATAGAATATTAATGAGCTGCCTAATTTTCCCCCAATTATCCATAAGGCTCCTGCCAATTTTACCCAAATTATCCATAAATAACCCTGCATTTTGAGGAAAATTCGGGAAAATTGAACAATTTTACAAGGAATTTCGACATGGAAACAGCAACCTTCGCAAATCGCAAGTTACGTTTGGCTGCGCTGCTTTATATTTTGAGAAGAAAGCGACACCGTTCCATACGATTCAGCGTAAGAAATTGTACTTACGGATGTCAAGTGTATTACTAAACACCCGTATTCTAGCGATTTATGGCCTTTGAAAATCAAGCGAAATTGTATTGTTGTTATGTTGACTAATCGCTCGCAGTACGTATACTATTGTTGAGAAATCACTCGCGCTACGTTTGTCCTTGTATTTGTAATGCCTAATGGCGTAATAAGGATAAAAATACCACCGTTCGATTCAGCGTAAGAAATTGTACTCACGGATGTCAAATGTATTACTAAACAGCAGTATTCTAGCGATTTATGGCCTTTGAAAATCAAGCGAAATTCGAGGCGAAATTGGTCAAATTGTATTGTTTTATAATTGTTGACAAATCGCTCGCAGTACGTTTCATAGTGTTTTGTAATGCCTAATGGCGCCATTAGGATAATATATCCACCGTTCGATTCAGCGTTAGAAATTGTACTAATTACGGATGTCAAATGTATTACTAAACAACAGTATTCTAGCGATTTATGGCCTTTTGTCTTTGAAAATCAAGCGAAATTGTGTTGTTGATAAATCGCTCAAAATTATTAAACTAATTATAAAAAAAAATGCAGTACGTTTGATCGTTGATAACTTTGGTATCATTGGTTTTCTCTTTTTCGGCTGTATACCAGTGGATTCGTCTCTCTCCAGTCTTCATTTTGATAGTATTTCGAGCTCAAAAATATTTTATTTTGAAAGTAAAGCGCAGTTTAATCCTAGCGTACGGACCAACTGGCGGCTGACAGTTCTTGAAGAAGGATTGTAGCATACCAGCCACATGAAATAAATTCCTTGATTCTCATCACTATACACTTTGAAAATGTCGAAGAGGCGGGAGGTATATATTTTTAATATTTTATATTTATACAATTTATATACCGAAAAAATATAATTCCTGGCATTTAATATTTCTGTGAGTTCCGAAGTAAAGTGTCACAAACTGAAATAAACATATTACATTACGGGCGTTGTGAAAACCCGGAATGCCGGAATATCACGAATATGGCGGAAATCACGGAATATGCCGGAATATCACGACATTTTCCCGGAATATACCGGAACATCAGAATATTTTCCAATGGTAGCCATGCGACTGATAAACATGGACGTCTGACAACATATTTTATTACAAAAGTGATGGATCTTTCCCATTTTGACGGTAAGTAACAAATAATAAGTCTATACTGGAAATTTTATATGTTGTTTATATCTTTACGAGTGTTCACCAAAAATT